GTACAATGTCAGAGAGATCCATACACTAACACACAAGTTATTGTCTGGAAGTTACAAAAATGCTTATTTTTGGCCCCTTTTTGGCCCCTAACTGTTGGTACCATAACCCCCAAAATCAATCCCAATCTTCCTTTTGTGGTATTGAACCTTATGGTAAAATTTCATAGAGATCCATTCACTTAAACTAAAGTTATTGTGCGAAAACCAATGTGACTTCGGACGACAACGACAACGGACAATGACGCCAACGTCATACCAATATACGACCGCAAAATTTGTTTGCGGTCGTATAAAAAATTGTAGAATTTTTAACAATATTGCCTTACCAGTTATCTACTTCAGGACAATACAAAGTTCTCTAATGATGTAAACCAAGACCCAGGTAATTTCAGACGACTCAAGTCAACTCAAATAATAATTTCTACAGCCAAGACATACTACTAATGGGTGGTTTTTTAACAACCTTGGCTGGCTGTTTAGCCCTCACACAGGTCAGCTCTTTGCCCCTAAGGTGTTTGGTGAGAATTTAAAATGTTTTTGTTGTCTTACGTTGGTCAGGAAGAAGGCGGCCAATTTGGTTTTATTATGTTTTTTTTACTATTTTGGATTTTGAAGGTCTTCTTCACAACAGCTATTTTCAGGGCCAGTTCGATCAGCTGGGCAACCCACTACAATGTTGAGAAGTCACTGGTCGATAAGTCAGAGACATAGTATTGATGTTTACAGCAAGCATTATCAGGACCACTGTCATGAGACGGTGAAATGACGGTCCATTACCCAACACCACAGGTACGGGGCCCTCCAATGTCAGACGGTATAGCAGGACCAATCCACAACAGTTTTTGAGTGTATGCTGACACAGACTTTTACACTAACTGTACAACGTTGAGTTGGTTTCTGTAAACATAATAGTACGTCATTGAGCAGATAAGCTGATCCAGCACGCCCATTCAGCTGTAAGGACTAAGATGTCATTTTGATGATCCATAAATGAATGGCAAAACCTAACAGATTATTATTGACTTTTTAGCAGATAAAAAGATGGCATGCAACATTTTTACTTGTTTACTTTTTTCTTCGAAAATTCTGTTTTGTTTCATTTAAATCCCTTGTACCATAGTTAAACAGGACACAATGATTTCATCTCTCTCAGACCCTAGAAATATCAAACATTTCCATTTTCCCTTATTTTAGGTATCTCTAAAATCCATCACAGTCATTTTGATATCAATATAGACAGAACTAAAATGATTGAGTGTGTTGCCTGCAAGTCTCCAAAAGATAAAAGCAGAAATGACAAAGTCCATGTTTCTGTATGGGAAAATCTTAAAATCAAACATTTCAAAAATCAAAATAGCAGGTGCACAACTTCATGTCTGTGCATGTTTTTGCAAGTGTGGTTGAATTGTGTCTACCTGTTTTGAAGGAGTTCTGGATTAACTAAGTGTGAAGACGTATCAGAAAACAGTGATTCCTATGTGTCACCCCTTGTGAATGCTGTCAGACACAACAATAAATTACAATTCTGTTCAGTTTATTACATCTCTGGATAGACATTAACTGCTCTTTGGTCAGTAAAGCAGATATTTCAACATTACATCTTTAAGGTGAATGCCATTAAATCGAACATATTTCTTTGCTGTAGCTCTTTGGCATTCTTTTCATTCTGTACTACAGAAACTTTTTTTTTGCATCAATTTGTATTTTCTATATATACAACAATAAACCTTTCTTATCTGTTTTTGTTGAGAGAAACAAACATGTAACTGACAACGATTGACATATAGATAAATCTACCCAGATAAAGTCAATGACTCTAAGACAGTTAATGTAAATATATATTCTACCACTATATCACATTAATTATAATATTATCCACTCAGATAGTTAAATTTCAAAATTCAAAATATAAAGCAGAACATTTTTAAATTTGAATATGAACAAGAATGGATAAATATCATAATTAATGGCATAGAGTGTACGGCTTGTTTCTCTAATGACTTAACCTACAAATTCTAAGTGAAATGTTCCCAAAACCTTCAGATTTGGTAGGAAATCACATGCATGGCGGTTGGATGGCAGTGGTACGAAAATTTTTTGCAGATTGACTAATGATAGGCATACTTTTTTTTTTACAGAGCAAAGCAGAATGAAAAGTTCACTATTGTTTCCTGCATTTTGTGTTGCAGAATATTCAGCTCTTGCCAGGCATGATATTCTTTTTCAAAATCTCCACCCCCTTAGCACTAGCCACTAGCAGGGTTCAAACTCCCAACATCAGTGTTGACAAGTTAGTGATGGCTGTAGCTGAATTGATGAACTATTTAGACCAATCAGCCACCAAATCAAATGTTTAGATGGCTCTTAGACTAGGTAAATTTCAAATTGTACTAGCCAGTTAGGAGAAAACTGATTGACATCTTATAAGTTTTCATAGTTCTTCTAATATATATATAGTGCAAACGCCAACACCATTAAGCATCTTTACTGTACTTTTAACTGATGTAAAATTAACAATTAATCTACATAAATTATAAGAAGCAAGCAAGTCAAATTTGTTCTGCATAATCGTTCAAGCATTAGATTGAAAACTGTTGTTTTAAGACCAAGTATCTTCTCCTTCATATATCATTCAACAAAAATAGATCTGCACTAGAAAACAATCTTGTTTTACAAGAAAACTGATGATGGAGATTATAACAAAATATTTACAAATCATTACAAAACCATTAGCTAGGTATAAAAGGAGATGGCTTCCACATTTAACCATCCACTTTAAAGAATCGGCTCATTAAGTGGAAAAAAAGAAAATAGGAAGATCTGTTGTCCAAACAGATGATATTCTTGTCTGTAATTAAGATGCTGTTTGTTTTTTCATGAGATATATTCAATACATTCATCTGTCTGGCATCATGAAGAAGTTTACAAACCTAAAGACACTTGCTGTAGTACCAATTATCTCAGGGCATGATTTACATACCCAACACAACAGTAAAATCCTCAAATAATCCTCTATACAAACATCTACACATAACCTGAACATATCATTCACTTTCTGGACAAACATACTTTGTATATTTATGAAACATAGAACAACATTCATATTAATTAACAGGAGTTCAAATCTATCATTTTTACACAGTAAATATGTGAATAGCAGTCGTTATCATCTTTTCAGACTGTATACAATGTCATTTGTGACATCATGGCTTGTTAATGTCAGATAATATTTATCTAGTAGTATCACACATGATTGATTCCCCTAACATTACAGAGCCTTTAGAAGCAAAACCATAAAAGTATAAAAAGGAGTGAGTACACAAAGGATCAATATTGGCCCTTAAACTCCATGAAATTAAAATAATTATCATTAAATTTCAACAAAAAGAAAAATATAGCTTGAAAGTACAAAATCAACAAGTTTTGTAAGGTGTCATTAGTTATTGGGACATCATCGTTACACCGATCTGCTGGATAATCAAAAACAAAGCCTCAGATGAGGGACGGAAAGACCTTTTCAGGAATTTGGGATTGAACCGTTTAATCCACAATTCTGGAATAGACAGTTATTTCAATCGGAATTCAGGATTTAGTTATATCATGATGCAGGAACGAACACATTATTTTCATGGGAATTCAGGATGAGGTTCCCTCCTACCCCCTCTTAAAACATCCTTATTTATATACCAGAACTATATGACAGCAAGTCCTTCAGAGGTATACTCCTGGTTCCAGACATTTATGGTCAACTGAGAAGACAAGATACTTGATACTTGAAGAAGTAATCATATTAGAAGTTATCTTTACATAAAATAGCAGAAAGTACAGTAACATCTGATAATATAAATTGATTAAATTATAATTTCTGAAAATAAATCTCTATTTATGTAGTAAAATATCTATAAAATCAGATGTTGTCTTATCATTTAATCATTTGTAATTTTCAAACATCTTAAATGTGTTTACAGTAAGACATTAATGCCAACATGCAGTTTTCTAGTGGATAATCATTTTAATCACTGCACATTTAATGGTAATGTCTGAGGCAAGCTGATTGCTGCTGTAAATAAGTCTTTATCATAAATGTCATAAAAATCATTTTTCTTCTTTTTAATGTCTATGTATATTTAGTTGGCTTTAATAAACCAAGAAACAGAAGCCCCTTTTTAACCCTAGTTCACATGAACAGTGCTTTATATCTGACATTTTACAATTTTGATGTTGCTGAATACAGTTTATATTTCATGTTGTTTCATAAAAGAGAGGCGAAGGATACCAAAGGGACATTCAAACTCATAAGTCAAAAATAAACTGACAAAGCATTCATGCATTAGCCAGAGAGAACATCTGAGTTTGTAAAATCATTAGCCCATACTATAAAAAGAGTGGTCTTTTTTATCAAAAGTGTTGCCTTTTCTAGCCAAAGAGAAGCTTACCCCTATACAAATTGTGATAAATTCAAATCTACATCTGAGCTCCATGTCAAACATAACTAAACTATAATTAGTTACTATTAAATCTAAAACATATACATGTATTAAATTTTTGAATTACAGATCATAAAGCATAACACTTGAAATTTGAGGCATTTCAAAGATAAACAGGTATCTTGGCATCTTAAATTAAAACAACAAATTTCATCATTAAACTGAGTTGTATAATGCAGAGATATATCATAACATCTAAACATTAAGCTCTTGATACATGCCATGAGTAAACAGAATAAGAACCATATTACATGATTCATGTTTAATGTCTTGGTGCCAAAATATAAGAAAATGTAATTCTAAATAGCTTATAGTTTCATCTTAAGTTATTATTAATTCAATTTCAACTAATATATCAACCAATCATCCTAGGGTAGATATATTAATACCAAGTTAAAGGAATTTAATTCATAAAACTGGCACAAAACACCTATATAAAAACATATAGAACAACATATCATCTTTAGAAAAGTATCTTTTTAGATTCCTGCATAATAGTAAATACTATTTTACCTTGGGGTCATCTGGAGGGTCATACTGAACTATCCAATCTACTTGTGGAATATCGAGACCTCTAGCTGCCACATCTGTACATAACAAGATGGCTTCCTTGGTATTACAAAACTGGAAGAATGACTGAGTTCTTTTGGTCTGTTTCTGTTTACCCTGAAAAAGAAAACATTCTCAATCCTATTCTATTTATAGTCTTCCAATACACACATGTACAACCTATAATGAAACAGTTGAAACTCATTTGAAACAAGACCAATACCAGGTCTAGACCTGTGTAACTTCATGCAATTGATTGAGGTAACATGCGTACTGAAGCATAATTGATTATTTATTCCCTTCGTTGACGACAAATTTTCCTTTACAATGAGTGTTGTAAAATTTCAAACCATTGGCAAACAGGAAGTGGCTGTACAGTAGCTGTAAAAATTGCTTAGCCATTACAACTCAACATAATGAAGCTGCAGACCAAATATAAAATCAATCCCTTTCAAAGAAGCCAAGAAAAGTTTGACGAAAGTTTTCCTTTTACAACGAGTGTTGTAAATTTCAAACTATTGTCAAACAAGAAGGTGGCGGCACAGCAGATCATTAAATTACTTACCTGCTTCAACTCAACATGATACAGCTGCAGGCCAAATACAAAATCATTACCGTTGATAGAAGCCAAGAAATGTTTGACAAAAGTTTTTTACCCAAGGTCTTTCCAATGGGAGGATGGATGAAGTCTTGTGGTTACTAGACCTGCTTAACCCTTTGGCGTTTCAGGTAAAATACAGTTCATTGATTGATTACTGTTTGCTTAACATCCAGTGGCAACAAGAACACAAACCTTGTTACCAAATAAAACCAAAAAAAATGCATAACTTGGAATCCAACTAAAGAAAAACATGTTATACGACAAAAACCAAATTTGTTATCCAACAAAGCAAAATTTGTTATCCTACAAAAACAAAACTTGCTATCCATCTGAAGCAAAGCTTGTCATTTCAAGCCTTAAGCTACACTGTAGCATTTTTGTTATAACTTGAAATTTTGGAATAATTTAATGATGAGATCAAAGTTATTGCTCTGCAGATTTAAAACTGTTCTGCACCCTTTCAAATTCTGATCAGAAGTTCTCCCAAAAATTTACCATATTGGGATATATAATAAACTGCTTCGCTGAGCGCAGCTGGATACGCTTGCAGAGGTCCAACCCTGAACAGTTGGGGCAAAAATGGACACAATATTCAAGCTTGATACAGGTCTGAATTTGGATTGTAATTAAATATTTGACATATTATAGGTTTCTGAATAATTGTAGTCAAAGAACTTGAAATTGGTTATATGAAATGAATTTATATTCAATTAAAGATTTCTTGCTGTTGTGCAATGCACTGTGCTGTTGCACAATACTTAGTGAATCTGTTCTCAAACTATAAACAAATAAAGTTCAATTAATTCTCAATGTCATATTAGAAATTTATGAAAATCAAAAGGGAGCTTACATCAATAGATATAAACAATTCACCAAAGTTTTATGAGAATTGCTGACAGCATTTTTGAGTTATTGTCCGAAAACTGGAAAATCCCCCCTTTTTTAATGAATAAAACCCCATAACTCAGAAATGTAAAATGTAAAATTTATAAAACTCTAAAGGGAGCTACATCAATAGATATAAACAATTCACCAAAGTTTCATAAGAACTGCTGAAAGCATTTTTGAGTTTTTGTCTGAAAACTGGAAAATCCCCCTTTTTTTATGAATAAAACCCTGTAACTCGAAAACGTAAAATCTAAAATTTATAAAAAACGAAAGGGAGCTCACGTCAATAGATATAAACAATTCACCAAAGTTTTATGCAAATTGGTTAAAGCGTTTTTGAGTTAATGCCCGACATGTTGACGACGGACGGACAGAGGTATACCATAATACGTCCCGTAAACGGGCGTAAAAAATTGTATAAACTTAAATCTTCAAATTTTTTTATTTTACAAAAACCATTATCTTCAAAATATTTCAATAAAACAATCAGTCATTTATAAACTGCAACCTTACTCATTGACATGTAGTAAATGAAAGGGATTACAGTGGGATGAAAATGATGGATGTCAACTCATCCATGTCATCATACAAACTGCAAATTTACATGTTTTCCTAAAATTTTAACTTAAAAAAAAATATCATTTTATAGTCAAGACTCATCTTTGCAATGATTACTTTGTCATTATATAATTCATACTGTGTCCAGTCTTTTGGTAAAAGACTGCACTTGAGGTTACAACAGATTTAAAATGGCATAAATTTCAATTTCAAGGTATTGTTTCAGATAAAGAATCTTCTCTTTTCTAATTATTCAATGTAGTAAGTACTGTTTTAAAAGTACTAAAATTTCATTTATATGCAGTCTGACTTCTGGTTGTTTTTTCACACTAGTGCTTATCCACCAGTAAATATAATTATATTGTGATTAAAATTAGGAATAAAATATAAATACTGTCTAATTCTCCATCTACAATAAATTTTGTGTGATTTATACAACAATAAAATCTAAAATGAAATACTGAAGGAATTACGTAAAACCTTAGATCAAAAACATAAATTGCCAGTTTGGCAGCATATTTGTGAAAATGAACTGATATTCAATTAAATCACACCATCCATATCATACAGATGTTTGATCTTGCTATTACATAAACAAGGTTAATAGAGCACTTACATGCTTTTCACCATTCTTATTTTAGACATCTCAAGAAAAAAGTTAATTCATTCTGTGCTAAAATGAAGTCAAATTAGTGGAGTAATTATCACAGTGCAGACTTCATTAAGGGATGATGCTATCTTAAGTATTAAAGAGAAACTGCATAAAACGTTTTATTTATGTAGTATTTCTAAATGTTTCTTGTCTTTGAACTTTTCCTTTCACCTAAATTTTCAAAAATATCTAATAATTCAAACCATATGAAGTCGCACATGATAATGTGCTAAGTAAAGCCCCACATGTTAAGAAAATAATCAGCAAATAGAAAGCAACTGCAATGCATAGATAAAAGTCACAATCACAGTAAAAGTCTGGGCCCGTATGCATAAAGCTACTTAAGTTAAGATTTGTTCCGAACAGACAGATTTTTCTACATGTCATACGACAAATTAGTATTACGATTAAATATCTTAACTTTAGTAGCTTTATGCATACGGGCCCAGACTTTTTAAATCATTTCCTTTACACTGGCAAGAAAACCCTACATACAATTTAAATGTTCAGAACTTATAGTAAAATTTCAAACCTTCAGCAAGCAGGAAAAGGGTTGTACATAAATAAGAAATTTGCTTTTACAGAAATTTCCTCATGATCAGAGTTTATCGGAAATACTTAACTACGGGCAAGAGGATGGGCTGCACATCTGATCTGAATTGGTATATGTTGATAATATCAAGCTCCACTCCAAGTACGAAATCGTTCTTAAATGCAAAAGCTGTGCAATATGAAGCAAAAAGGTAATTTATTGTGCACATTCAATAGGCTTTGTCAAAATATCAATTTTCAAAAGTTGCAGTTTGTATTTAATTCTTCATACTTATCAACTGGTGAAATGTTTAGCCCATTGCTATATCATTTTATTTCATAATATAAAAGCATGCATACAGAAAAGAATATTTCTGTTATCACAGAGATATGTCTCGCTTGTGGAACCTAATTACAAACTTTAATCCAATGTAAATCAGCTGACACAGAAAATAGCAAGCCCAAGTCTTGCTTTTGTGACTATGGTGGCAGGTGAGGTATAACTAAATATATTCTAAAAATAATGAGTCTTACTCTATTAAAACTGGAAATGTGAGTGAAATTACAAGAGAATACCATTCTGTTGAAATTACAAGAGAATACCATACTGTTGAAATTACAAGAGAATACCATACTGTTGAAATTACAAGAGAATACCATACTGTTGAAATTACAAGAGAATACCATACTGTTGAAATTACAAGAGAATACCATACTGTTGAAATTACAAGAGAATACAATACTGTTGAAATTACAAGAGAATACCATACTATCCCTGGACAATTTCAATGATCTCCCCTTTAGCATGTTGGACAAGACTTTATTTCCTTTATGTGTATATTCAGGCAGTGTTCTACAACAGTGAAAATGTTCATCATTATCTGTCCAACCATTTAGGAGGAGTTGATCAGAGTCTAACACTACATATTGCAATCTTGAAGTAATAAAGGTGGATTATCTCCCCTTGTACATGTAGGAACAGAATTTTATTTCCTCAATGAACATCTTCAGGCAGTGTTCTATAACTGTGTACAGTTTCATCAATATCGATTTTAGGATTTTCTCTTACAATGCTCATGGACAAGCAGACAGTCAGACAGACAAGGTGATTCCTAGATACCCCCAGTCCCACATTGGCAGGGGTACAGTAAGATGAAAAGTATAATTCCAATGCACAGGTTTACTGGCAAATAAATTATGTAAGTCAAAATTGATCTTTGACTTACTTTATTAATATAGCCCCCAAATATAGAATTTATAAATGCCTTTTCTCTACTTTATTCCTCATTCCTGCCAACAATGAGTTTAATGACCGAGACAATAATAGTGGGAAGTCATTTATCTTTTACTACTGTCAACTTTGTTTTCTCAACAAGTATTGTTTATGCATTTCACATCCCCAAAACTATCTTTTTCTGTATCAAACAATCTAAATTAATGAGAAAACAGTAGAGGAAAGAAAAGGCATTTTCAGCATAATTACATCTAGCTCATTTGTTATTTAATGATGTATAACCAATGTTCCAAGGCAACAGCCAGAAAATTCAGACAAACTAACACAGTCCAAATGTTCTTATATGTAATCAGGAACAATAACCTTGTGCTTTATGAATCTGACAACAAAAAATACATATGGTATCATGTGACCCTTCCCATGGTTCAATGAAAACACATCTAACCAAGCTGGTTCTGTTCCAAAATAGCTGGGATTCCTAGTTTGAATGTTAACATCGATTAACAAGCATGTCAACAATTGTCTCTAATTAAGAAACCAAACGTTCCAAATCAAAAGATTTTCTGCCCTAATGAAGGTGCTCTGTTCCTCTTCACTTTTTCTGTCTCTGTTATTTAACTACTTTTATTTATACTTCTGGGTGTTTTAAGGTGAACATTTGTGTCTATTGTTTTTTGTTAGTTGTTTTTGTGCCTCATACCGATCTTTGGAGTTAAGCCAATTGCAACTGTTTTTTGGTTCTTAAGTTGTGCTGTTACACCACTGTCCCAGGTTAAGAGAGGGTTGAGCACTCACAAACATGTTTAACCCTGCCATATTCTTTATGTGCCTGTTAATCCAAGTCAGGAAACTGTAGTTCAGTGGTTGTCGTTGGTTAATGTCTGTCATATTTGTTTTTAGTAAATTGTTTTCTTATGCATTACCCTACTGAAAATGAGTACGGGATTCCACTGGATTTCCAGTGAAATTACACTGGTATTCAGTGGAAAAAAATATTCCGATGGAATCCCATTAGAATTTCATCCAAAACATCTGGAATATTTTTCACACTGTAATTCCAATGGAAAATCAGTGAAATTTCCAATGAAACTTCCAAAGATTTTCCAATTAATTTCCAGTGGAATATTATTGTTTATATTTCAGTGGAGTTTTGATTTAATGCAAATATTCCAGTGGAATTTTGGACTTAGAAATTTAAAGGAATATATACTTCTAATTTAAATTTTTCAAATAATTAAGTGCATGATTATTATATAAAGGATTTAATTTGTAACATATAATTTGCTGGCCTGATAAGAAATTAAATAATATAATCATGATAATATATGGGATGTAATGAATATTTCATAAACCTACGTATATACATTACTAGATAACATTTTTGTTCGCTTTGGAGATTCCGTATATCGTCAGGTTATCGGAATTCCAATGGGGACTAACTGTGCACCACCTATTGCGGACCTTTTTTTGTATTGCTATGAGTTACAATTTATGACAAAAATCAGTAAAGACCCATCGAAACAACATCTGATACACAAATTTAATAATACTTTTAGATATTTGGATGATATTTTGGCTCTCAATAATGACGACTTCAGTATGTATACTAAAGAAATTTATCCTGTTGAACTTACTTTAAATAAAGCTAATACTAACAATGACCACTGCCCTTTCCTCGATCTTGATATCTATATCATTAACGGAAAGCTTAATACTAAAATATATGATAAAAGAGATGATTTTTCATTTCCTATCGTTAATTATCCATTTTTAGATGGTGACGTTCCCTTGTCACCATCTTACGGTGTTTATATATCTCAACTTGTACGATTCGCTCGTGTATGTAACAATGTTTTAGATTTTAACGAGAGAAATGTATGTATTACTGAAAAATTATTACACCAGGGTTTTCGATATCACAAACTAGTCAAAACATTTACTAAATTTTATCATCGGTATAAGGACATCATTCGTAAATATAGCTCAACATGCAGACTTCTTATACGTTCAGGTATTTCACATCCAATTTTTTATGGAAATATTCTTTATAAAGCACAAAAATGTCAGTATTCACCTCTGAAACTAACAAAACCTTTAAATAGACTTATTAAGAAGGGATATAGTTACGATACTGTTGTCAGGTCATTAAAGATTGCATATTTTGGCGTTGATATTGATTCACTTATAGGGTCTTTGCATCTGCACTAAACACATTTATTTAAAAACCAGTTGTTGGCATGACACGGGTTATGTTCTTCTCATATATGTTATGATGGTATGATACTAAACCCCTAACGGGAAGGATTGTGCCTGATATTCATATGATGAAGACATAATCTTTCAATCAGTTTAATTGAAGTCTGGAGCTGGCATGTCAGTTAACTGCTAGTAGTCTGTTGTTATTATGTATTATTGTCATTTTGTTTATTTTCTTTGGTTACATCTTCTGACATCGGACTCGGACTTCTCTTGAACTGAATTTTAATGTGCGTATTGTTATGCGTTTACTTTTCTACATTGGCTAGAGGTATAGGGGGAGGGTTGAGATCTCATAAACATGTTTAACCCCGCCGCATTTTTGCGCCTGTCCCAAGTCAGGAGCCTCTAGCCTTTGTTAGTCTTGTATTATTTTTAATTTTAGTTTCTTGTGTACAATTTGGAGTTTAGTATGGCGTTCATTATCACTGAACTAGTATATATATTTGTTTAGGGGCCAGCTGAAGGACGCCTCCGGGTGCGGGAATTTCTCGCTGCATTGAAGACCTGTTGGTGGCCTTCTGCTGTTGTCTGTTCTGTGGTCGGGTTGTTGTCTCTTTGACACATTCCCCATTTCCATTCTCAATTTTATGTATATGAAACATTTGTTCAAAAAATGTTACATGGTTAAATGTGATATGAAATCACTTGCCTAGTAACAAATGAAAATAATCATTTGGTCTGAAAGACCCCCCCCCCCCCCCCCCCATATAAAATAAGTAAAATGGTAGCTCCTCAGATGTAGGGTGAATATAATGCATCACCATATAGCCTATGAGTATGACACATTGAAAGGATACATTTTAACTATTAAGAAATAAAATTAAATGTTCAATAATCAGATAATATAAATAAAGAAATGAATATTTTATATCAAATTGGGTTGAGAATAAGATTCTGTTTGATTTAACGAACAAAAACAATTAAGATTCTTTTTGAAAAATGTGCATGGCTCTTAAAAGGGCCGTTTTAAACAGATCTGTTGCAGATATTATCTTCAGACTGTACGAATTGTTAGGATAACTCCGTTTTTTTCTTCAAGTGACCGTACTGGCAACTGCCCTGCACTACAGTCTACATGTATACAATAATATAATTATTTCTCCTTTGACTTCATCATGTTCATTAACTGTTACTGGTCTACTGTTCTTTTGAGAAAAGTAAAGTGAACGGCTTTCATTTTCCACATTGTTCTATAAACTGTTTCGGTATCTTAACTTTGTCGGTGTGATGAATTTTTCATCATTTTCATGTCCTGAACTCGGCACTGGAACTCGGGTCATATAAGTAAATCTATAGAAAAATTTCACATATAATCCGCTCCAATCAATTGTACGCTAAATGTCAGTGTTTTGGCATAATTTGAGCAGAAAATTCGTGAAACTGTAGTCTATAATGTTGTTTTTCAACACTCATGTTTACATTCATGGAGGCTGCCATTTTTTTCTACCAGACTATATATATAACCGCTGATTTGATTGGATAACTCTATTTCCGGGATTTCCGATCGGCCAATCAGATAGTCGTTATCATTAATACACGGAATGTGTTCAAATTTGAAACTAAAAATATTGTACGAATATGTATCCTGTCCAGCATTGTCCAGCTGTGGTTACATTAATCGTGTTAATAATAATTAATACTCAACAACCTTCGATAAATAAAGAAATAGACATTAAAGGCAGAACATTTAGGTATGACATTAGCTGTTGAACCAAGAATTTACGATGAGACGATGTGCTGATGACAGTGATGTAGGGCAGACGTACAGCAGATACAGGTAATTTTTAAGAGATTTTACATTTGATTTTTACATCATGAATATTTTTAATTAAAATTAAAAAAAAAGATATACACCCCCTTTAGTTTCATTCATGGGCTCTGTTAGTTCACACTTTGAGGATGACCATTTGGTGTTCTGAAAAGGGGGAGGTGGGAATGTAATAATAATTTTATTATTCTCAATATTGAATTACATTGTGTGCCTTCACAATCAAGGAAAGATGTTTACAGTTTACTACACACATTCAGGCACATTCAACTTAATTTTGTCATGTTCTGATTTGGATGGACATGCAACACAAAAAATCCCTAAAGGTTAATATTGTGTTTTAGAGTCTTTATACTTAACTGAAAGAAGCTTCTTAATTATATATGTACATTGTATGATAAATATCAGTAATATATAATGCATACAGGTCATGACCAGAATTAAAAATTATTAATAAAATGTTTTTACATTTTTTTTAGGTTGTCCATATATTAAAAGGGATTGATCATGGTGAAGGTACAAAGCTGCAAAAATGATGACTGTGCATCGATCAATATCCACTCAATAATATGAAAACAAACGAACCAGCAGCAGAAAAGAAATTTGAGTATAAGATTATTGAAAGGTACTTATTGAATTATTTTTTCATCCTTCCCACACTTGAAATAAAAATACATTAATCATGTTAATCATTCACATCTATAAGCTGTAAACACATCTCAAAAACATTGATCTGATCATCATGCACAATGGTTAATCATGGCTATTATGTGAACAAAATGAGGTGTCTGGTATGCTTCAACCAGATAGTAAACCAACAACAAACACAACACAAAGGGAAAGATAATATGAGGCTAAATAAAAATATTTGCGTGGTTCCAATTACCTTACCTACCTTTTTTTTTTAGTCTTAACAATAGCCTACCCTAAAGATTTTTTTGTCATTTTTCAGTAAGTACTGTTTAAGTCAGAATGTTGCTCCCATAGACATGATAGACTCAATGTAAAAAAAAAACATAAAATAAAAAAAATTCTTACCTACCTACCCTAATTTTTTTTTAAATGTAACTGGAACCACACATACTATTTTATTTGGCTTTGAGAGACACCTGATCCATGAACAATAAAAGTCTATTTTGATAAAAAGAGATGTGTGTTATAAGTCTAAGAGACAGCAACCCAACAACTATAGCCAAAGATATCTAGAGAACACATAGTCTTCAATAATAGACATACATGTGTCTAAATTGCTCTTAGTGTATAAATGTTGTGAATAAATTACACACAAACACAAATAAAATATGCCAGTAACATATATTTTTGAATAATTGCAGACTGGAGCATGGTATTGTAATGTTATTTTAATTCAAAATTCTATGCATGTTATGATGTATGATTTTTTTCCTTTCAGATTAATCAATGAAGACTTAATGGAACAGGATTGGAATGCAGAAACTTTGGACTTAATTCATGAATAATATCAATGGATGATGAAGAAAACTGACTAAACTGACAAAGTATTTCGTATGCATGTTAACTGGACATTTTTGTTTGTTTAATGCACAATAAACAAATTTGTAAAATTGAAAATTAAAACCATTTGTGAAAGATTTCAAGAGGACCAAAAGTTACCATGGACTTATGAATGATTTAACCAGAAAAATGATTTACATGTACAATTAAGTAAATACATCTTTGACTAAAAAATGATAATTTATCAACGTTAATAATTTAAAGAGGTTGATCTTTTCGTTTAAAAGGTCTTAAATGTGGATGATGTATAAACTGTTGTAATTTCTTTAATTGTTGACTTGCATTAAAATGGTTATTGTCTTATTTCAAGTTTTCTTATTAATTCATTCAAAAATAAGCAGTGCATGCAAAATGATATCTAACATTTCAGTGGAATTGTCAATTTCCATTGAAATATCACTGGTTTTCTTTGGTTGATTGTTACAATTTCCAATGGAATTACCACTGGTATCCCAGTAGAAAACAATAAATGTCCAGTGGGAAAACAATGGTATTCCAACGAAGTTTTCACTGGTATTCCAATGGAATTTCCACTGTATTCCACTCGAGTATTCACCGGAATCCCACTGGATATTCCACTGATATCCCAATGGAAAACAATGAATGTCCAATGAAAATCCCGACCAAATTTCCCAGTGGTAATACAGTGGTATTCCAATGGAACTCTGATGAAACTCCACTGGTATTTTCAGTGAAATCCCACTTTACATTTTCAGTAGGGTAGGCCTTTAGTTTTCTCATTTGAATTGTTTCACATTTCTCATAAAGGTGCCTATACAGTATGGGTTTTCCTCATTGTTGAAGGCCGTACAATGGCCTATAATTGCTTACATCTACTTCATTTGAACTCTAGTGGATAGTCGTCTCATCTGCAAACATACCACATTCTCCTTATTTTTATATTATATGTCACAAGCAGATTAACCTTCCAACCCTTTGAAATAAAATTGATTTTTTTACCTAAAGAAAATAATGGCATTCTAAACTGGGTGTTCTTAGATGCTTTGTCTCAATTATTTATTGATAAGAATACAAAATTGGGAACCCATATCATACATGTCTTCACTGATTTCTACAATTTTTTTTTACAAAATTCAATAAAAATTTGATGTGTATATGGTCATTTTATCGAAGAATCTAAACACAAAGTCCAAAGTGTTAATGTTCCAGGAAATTATTACATAGATTGTGGACCAGTGCTTTGTAAAGAATCATCAACAAATGTTCATCAATGCATGACAGTTAGTCAGTGCTCTGCTGGCTTTTAACTGCCTTTAAATCAATTCTCTCTGATTTTCTATACATGATACTGACTCAAACTGTCATTTGACAATTGAATTCAAATTTTATAAAATTTAATCAATATGAATGCATGTAACATAACATTTTTTGCATTAGAAGCGGAAACACTTCTCACTTAACATTGTCCTACATTACTTGCTCTCCTATTGCTTAAAACCCAAAGAAACCATGTTAAATACTTATATTTCAAGTACAACCGATTCATAGTGTATTTAATAGTAAATATATACTGTAATTTAATCTCTGTTGATTTACCAGTTGTATAACCTGTATCATTGGTAGCTCATGTATAACTCATAGAAAAACGAAGATAATATCAAATGTAGAATTACAGTAAATGTACACTTTGAAGAGAAAATTATCCTCAAGAATGTATCTTTCATGTAATGTATTACATTTTTTGTACTTATTAACAACAGCAGCATTGGTACATGATCATGATACATATGTACCTGTCCAATTACATTGGTACATGATCATGATACATATGTACCTGTCTGATTACATTACTTTCCAAAAAATTATAGGAAGAAAAAAGAAAATCACTAGAAATGGTCGATATGTCACTTACAAAGGAAAAGGAGTAGGTTCAATAAGGCACCAATATGGTCCTGTATTTCAAATAAAGATTTATTGATCAGATAACAATAAATCATAGCTTAAAGAATGACTTAATAGGTAATAGTTCTCTCTGTTGAAAATTTACAAATTAAGTGTTAATTAAATTAAACAATAGCAACATTTTTGATTTTCAACGCAACCCAATGAAAACAGGTCAATTTCCATTGGTTATAAGGACTGGAACCATAGAGTGCATAGGTCAACAAAAATTATTTTTTGATATTAGTTTTGTTAGAACAAACTACAAATCTGATTCTAGTATCTAGTTTGTTTCCTTGGCCCTAACCGCTGGACGTTAAGCAGCCATCCATCATCATCATCATCCATTTATAATAAAATCTTCACAAATTGGTCAGAGTAGAATTGATATCATGTGAAGTAAAAACTTAAGTATCATCTCTGAAACAAGGTAAAGGACCAGCATCAAAATCAAAAGGATTATTCTTCTATTAAATTTGACACTGTGATACAATTTTATCAACATCAGTCATACATAGGAACATAGTGTAAAATTATGTGTTCTCTTTTAATAAAACTATTCCCACAAGTCTTTAAACAACAATTCAGACATTAATCTTACCCTTGTGCGAAAATCTCATTAAAATCTAACAAACATTTCATTTGCTTTTGGCACTTGTCTGAATGTGTTTTTTGGGGTTATTGGTTTTTAATCATAACAGGAACTTTTCTTCTATTATTATCTTCATTAAGATGTCATCAGTTAAAGTAAATTTGACTTATTGTAGGAAGAGTGAAGAGACAGTGAATACCATTATATGTCCTGTTATCAAAATAATTTTAATATGCTTGATTTACAATGCATTCACAAAAAAGTATAAAGGACTAGCTTAGGTTTATTTGTGCTTTTCTTACATTTTATACAATTAGACATTTGACATTAATTCAGGTAAGAACATACAGAAAATTAAAAAAAGAATACAAATTAGAAAATTTTTTATTAATAGATTTGGATCGATACATGATATCAAATTTTATAAAAATAAGAATAAGTAATAGTTATCTGAATATTGAACAGGGTAGACACCGTAAATTACCTTTGGAAAAAAGATTATGTCCTCTCTGTAAAAAGGAGGTAGAAGATGAATATCATTTTGCTTTAAAATGTCAAATTTTAGAAGAATGTAGGCAAAAACTTTTTCAGGAATTAGAGAGTATTGTTCCAGATTCCACCAAAATGTCTGATGAGGAAAAATTTGCATTTATGTTTACATTTAATGAGTATGATGTATCTAAAATTATTGTCAAGGGAGTTAATGATTTATATGTTTTAAGAAATAGCCTAGCTGATAAGAAGAACTAATCGATGTAACAAAGTTGTGACTATTCTATATTTTTCTTATTGTATTTGTTATGATATATTTTATAACAATTGCATTATAATTTTTGTACTTGCACTTTCAAATTTGCAAAAGTATCACCTCCTCCAAAACATCTAAATATAGTCTTATAGAATAGGAATGTTGTTTAAATTTAAATATTGTATGTTTGTAATGATTGTCATGTTTGTCTTGGTAACAATCCAATATTTGGATTTTACACCAATTAAATGATTTGATTTGATTTGATTTGATTTGATTTGATTTGGTAAAATTATAATTAAACATATTTATTTATACTTTCTCATAGCAATAACAACCAATTTAGATTGATTGGCAGGTCCATGCACTTAACTTACAAGGTGAATATTGGATATAGAGATTAACCTATATATATATATATATATAGACAAATTAACATCATCTGGGGAGGAATACTAATGAAATAATGGTCTAGTTAAGGAAAAGGTTTTCTACCATTGATTATTGCAAATCAGAAAAATTCATTTAAGAATTGAATGCTTTTTTTTGTAAATTTATTGGGGTGTAAAAGCGTTGACCGAAGTACATTTTGTATGACGCGCGGAAGTTCTAATAAAATGCTCTGCTGGGCGCAGCTTGATACGACCGCAGAGGTCGAACCCTGAACAGTTGGGGCAAGTATGGACACAACATCCAAGCTTGATACAGCACTGAATTTGGATTGTGATAAAATATTTGACACAACATAGGTTTCTGACACAGAATGAATGTGGTCTAAGAACTTAAAAAAATTTAATTTACCTATTCAAACCATATCATAATTATTTGCTTTTATATATAAATCAGAAATAACCAATTTAAAATGGAAAATTTTAAAGAAAAAAAAGGAAAAAAAAATCCCCCCTCAAATTTTTGAACACCCTTATGATTCATCACCCCAAAACTCAATCCCAGCCTTCCCTTTGTGATATGGAACCTTGTAGTACAATTTCATAAAGATCCATACACTTACACACAAGTTATTGTCCTGAAACTAGAAAAATGCTTGTTTTTTTGCCCCTTTTTGGCCCCTAATTCCTAAAATTTGGAGGCAATTACCCCCAAAATCAATCCCAGCCTTCCCTTTGTAGAATGGTACCTTGCAGTACAATTTCAGAGAGATCCGTAAACTTGAACACAAGTTATTGTCATGAAACTAGAAAAATGCTTGTTTTTTGCCCCTTTTTTGGCCCCTAATTCCTAAAATTTGGAGGCAATTACCCCCAAAATCAATCCCAGCATTCCCTTTGTGATATGGAACCTTGTAGTACAATTTCATAAAGATCCATACACTTACACACAAGTTATTGTCCTGTAACTAGAAAAATGCTTGTTTTTTTTGCCCCTTTTTGGCCCCTAATTCCTAAGATTTTGAGGCAATTACCCCCAAAATCAATCCCAGCCTTCCCTTTGTGATATGGAACCTTGTAGTACAATTTCATAAAGATCCATACACTAACACACAAGTTATTGTCCTGAAACTAGAAAAATGCTTGTTTTTTTGCCCCTTTTTGGCCCAAAATTCCTTAACGTTTAGGGCAATTACCCCCAAACTCAAACCCAGCTTTCCCTTTGTGATATGGAACCTTGTAGTACAATTTCATAAAGATCCATACACTTACACACAAGTTATTGTCCTGATTCCTGAAACTAGAAAAATGCTTGTTTTTTTGCCCCTTTTTGGCCCCTAATTCCTAAAATTTGGAGGCAATTACCCCCAAAATCAATCCCAGCCTTCCCTTTGTGGTATGGTACCTTGCAGTACAATTTCAGAGAGCCATACACTTGAACAAGTTATTGTCTGGAAACTAGAAAAATACTTATTTTTAGCCCCTTTTTGGGCCCTTATTCCTAAACGTTTTGGGCAATTACCCCCAAACTCAATTCCAGCTTTCCCTTTGTGATATGGAACCTTGTAGTACAATTTCAGAAAGATCCATACACTTACACACAAGTAATTGTCATGAAACTAGAAAAATGCTTGTTTTTTGCCCCTTTTTTGGCCCCTAATTCCTAAAATTT